ACTAATAATGTTAACTATACTGGTAATGTTAACTACACAGGTAATGTTAACTACACAGGCAATGTTAACGACACAACTAAAGTAAACGACACAGGTAATGTTAACGACACAGGTAATGTTAACTACACAGGTAATGTTAACGACACAGGTAATGTTAACGACACAGGTAATGTAAACGACACAGGTAATGTTAACTATACAGGTATTGTTAACTACACAGGTAATGTTAACGACACAGGTAATGTTAACGACACAGGTAATGTTAACTACACAGGTAATGTTAACTACACAGGTAATGTTAACTATACTAATAATGTTAACTATACTGGTAATGATAACTACACATATAATGTTAACTACACTGGTAGTGTTAACTAAACAGGCAATGTTAATGACACAGGTAATGTTAACGACACAGGTAATGTTACAACACGACACAGTAATGTTAACAACACAGGTTATGTTAACTACACAGGTAATGTTAACGACACAGGTAATGTTAACGACACAGGTAATGTTAACGACACAGGAAATGTTAGCAACATGAGTAATGTTAACAACACGGGTAATGTTAACTACACAGGTAATGTTAACTATACGTGTAATGTTAACTACACAGTAAATGTTAACTACACATGTAATGTTAACGACATTGGTAATGTTAACTACACTGGTAATGTTAACTACACAGGTAATGTTAACGACACAGGTAATGTTAACTACACAGGTAATGTTAACTACACAGGTAATGTTAACGACACGTGTAATGTTATCTACACGTGTAATGTTAACTACACGTGTAATGTTGACTACACGTGTAATGTTAACTGCACCTGTAATGTTATCTACACGTAATTACACGTGTAATGTTAACAACACAGGTAATGTTATCTACACGTGTAATGTTATCTACACGTGTAATGTTAACTACACGTGTAATGTTAACTACACGTGTAATGTTAACTACATGTAGTGTAAAGTAGCGTCTTTTATCTATCGTGATAACCCTATAGGTAACTCCAGAGTGTCAGGATCGTGTTATCAAGTCTATTTGCAGGGTAAACTTATTTGAGGGATGTGGATCAGATTTTACACCCTTACCTGTGCAAAGGATTACTATATCTCCACAATATTAAGCCCAATGTTTGGTGGGTCAAGATCAAAGTAACTGTTATTATCTTTATTTAGAAAATCCCTTTCAGTGCTGAAATATCTATACCTTTTCAGAGAATTCAATAAAACTGCGTCTTGTCTTAAGAATTAAATGCTTTAGATCTAAATGTAGCGACATTTATGGGGTGTTGGAGGGCGATTTGTGATCACAAAGCAATATATCCAATGTATGTGTTGCACTTAGTAAGGCAAATTTTAAACAATAAAACAGCATATTTCAAAAGCTTTAAAAAATTGTTTAACAATGCTAATTAGTTTGAACCCTCTCCGGTTAATCCGTCGAAGACATATTCAGGTATATTACGTGTGTATTAATATGATTAGTGCATTCCTTATATGGTGACGAAGTCATTTTCGTTCGTGAGACAAACCAGGAATTTTCATCCAACCCTCACCACACTGGTCGTGTCATGTTGGTTGAAAAACCCTCTAGAGCAGCGATGAAACAGTAAATTAAACCATGTCACACGTCTTTCCACTTCGAGTATATTGATGTCTTTCCTAAGGAGTCCTATAATGTATTTAGATATCGTGTCTCAGTACCCGGTATAGTGCCGTCGGTAGAAGCCTGGTTAGTTTAATAGGAACTTGTTTCCATTGTTCAATCCTTAGGATTGTGTCACAGAACTACACTTGAAGACATAAATTCATTAGAAATTCAATATCTTCAATATTTGGTTCACGAGATCATTCTCTTGAAACGTTTGTTTATTATAGTGGGTGTGGGATGTGTATATGACCCGCGAATATGACAAACAAACTCTGTTATCTTTTGAAATTAATCGTTCCAAATGATTCTCACTGTATACAGCGATAAATACGCCCCTTATAAATCAATGGAAAGAATGCAGTGTACACGACGGTGGAAAACAAAATTAAATTCGATGACATCCAATCGTTTTTATCTTTTCTGACACTGTGATTGATGTTTGGTTAAACATGATAAGGACACTCTAAGATTGATCGTACCTTGTGAAAAACACACATGGTGACAATCTAAGATATGTATATATATAAACAGTAAAGGAATATATGGACATCCACAGAACTGTGTATACAACATAAGACGACGAGTACACGTGAATACATGTCATCTATTATTTACTTATTTTATTACAAAAATATTATTATGATGTAGAAATTGCCATGGATACTTTGACGAACTTCTGCTAGATATGACTTAGCATCAATGGCTACAATGTCAGAAAGAATTCAAGTGACACGTAATAAACGTTATAAGAGGGCTGTTGTGGCTGTCTATAGTTCTCACGAGTCTGAAAAAGGACGATTAACCTCCCTGGTATTTTTTTCAGCTTAATAGCACCTATGGATCGGAGGGGAAAAAATTAGAAAACGTTTTTATTCAAGATCGCAGCCATGACGGTCACTTTGGATTTTGGGCCGACTCGAAAAATAAAAACCATTCGTAAAGGGACAAAACGTAGACATTTCAGGTTTAGTCGCCATTTACAACATGCAAGTCTTATGTTCTACTACAAGGCATCATACTATTACATTTTCTTTAAATGCACATTTGACCCATATGACCTTAAAACAAGGATTAAGGACATATGTTTGAAGGCACTCGGTAGCCCTTTATTCAAGCATGCAACAGGCCAAATACCATGAACCGGCATTTAAAGATAATTTTTTCATAACGGACCACTGTGACCTTGAAAGGGGGACAAGGTCATTCATATTATCAAACTTGATAACAAATGACCCTGACATTTTACATGTAAAATACCAAGTTTCTAGACCAATTTTGGTACCCAAAATAGCTGAGCACTTTTGAATTTTGACAATCAGAAGTTAACTCTGTACAAGTTTCTTTTATAAATACAGTTTTTCAAAGTTGTTTTACTTTAATAAAAACTGGAATTTGATAATTACAGATTTTTTTTATTCTTGCTTCTTTCGACAGCAATTGATTTCTGTATACAACTTACCAAATGTCATCAACCTGTAACTCTTGATCATTGGGAAAAAAAGCAATCCATTTTTTTGTTTTGTTTTGTTTTGTTTTGTTTTTTTTTTTTTTTTTTTAATTTGACCTCAAAGACCCTGGAAAATAGTCAAGGTCATTCATACTAATAAACGTGAAAGCCTAACGCTGAAACATGCTATTCACAAAATTTATTGACCCTGAGACACTTGGTTTTTGATAAGAAAGTGTTTTATTTCAAAATGTGTGTCATAAAATTACAATTTGAAATTTGGCCCCTTTACCGAAAACCGGAAGTTGACATTTGACCATAAAATATTGCAGACAGAAAATTTATTTACGTTTTATTCTACAAAACTTTTCCAAAGATTATATAACATATATGCTATACTGATATGGCACTTAGAATAAAAACGGATATGACGTTGTGGCGGCCATCCCAAAATACTCAAGAGCATCTAAGAAAACCTTTTACATAACAATCAAACAACATATATTAGTAAGTGTAGTTTATATTGTTATAAATATTTTAACAATCTGTCAGCATTTCTAAAAGGTCAAATGAAATTTTCAACATGGCGTACAACTTCAACAATAAATGGCAGAAAAACTGTCATCGGAAGGACATCATGCGTTGCCTTTTTGAAGAATTTTAAAACAAAATAAAACATTTAAATTTTATCTTTGACGAAACAGTAATTTTTTGTTTTTGTTTTTTGTTTTTGTTTTTTTTGTTTTTGTTTTTTGTTTTGTTTTTTTTTTTTTTTTTTAATTTTTTCTTTTTTTCATACCTTTAGCATGTACTAAGAGAATATATATGAAATATGAAAATTATCCTCAAATAATATAATTGTATGAAATCTATATTCAATGGTTTTCGAGTTTAACTTGTTTTCATGTTTTTAAGTCATGACGTCATGGCAGCCATATGAGATTTTTGACCTACTTGAAAATGTTAAAATGACTCCTTCAATCCATGCCATGTATTAAACTTTGAAGAATATGATCATCTCTTTCTCTAGTCAAAAATTAAAAGGTCACAAAAAAGAATCAGATTAATTCAAAACAAGAAACACACAAAAACAATAGGTCTTTTCGCCATATGGTGAAAAGTCTTAATAAGAAGTAACATTGCGCAAACCCTGTAAGATATTGATCATTGTACACTTAAGTGATGTTTCCAAGACACATGTATACACATAGCAGAAATATTTTCGACACACGTTTACACATAAGAGAAATCACCGAGTACACATTTTAACACATTAGTGAAATCTCCAATACACATTTTTACACATCAAATAGGTCTCCTTATACTCATTTCAACATATTCATGAACCCGTGATGACAAATCTTTACACCAAGACACGTTGTTACATGTCAGTGAAAAGTCCTTTACATTCATTTTCAAGTTAGTGAGATCCCCTAGATACATGTTAAAACTTTAGTGAGATATTGATACACATTAAAACTTTAGTGAGATCCCCTAGATACACGTAATAACTTTATTGAGATCTAGATACACGTTAAAACTTAAGTGAGATCTAGATACACGTTAAAACTTTAGTGAGATCTAGATACACGTTAAAACTTTAGTGAGATCTAGATACACATTAAAACTTTAGTGAGATATTGATACACATTAAAACTTTAGTGAGATCTAGATACACATTAAAACTTTAGTGAGATATTGATACACATTAAAACTTTAGTGAGATCTAGATACACGTTAAAACTTTAATAAGATCAAGATACACGTTAAAACTTTAGTGAGATCCCCTAGATACACGTTAAAACTTTAGTGAGATCTAGATACACGTTAAATCTTTAGTGAGATCTAGATACACGTTAAATCTTCAGTCAAATCTAGATTCACGTTAAACACTTAGTGAGATCTACACCTACGTGAAATTTAGACACATTTGTACACCTGAATAAGCCCTCAACACATCTGCACACCTAAGAGAGATCTCGTCACATGTGTACACCTACTTGAAATTTAGACACATTTGTACACCTGAATAAGACCTCAACACATCTGTACACCTTTTAATTAACAAATTGAGTTAAATAATATGTTATAATGACAATAAAAGAAAGGATGTGTTAAGTCTACATACTGTTTAACATGTATGTATCTTTATGACTTGTTAAATATAACTGCATTGTTTTGTGCTGTTTTCGCAACTAAAACATACTTTTGTTTGCTCCGTCATGATATTGTCTCGTCCCCCTCCATTCCTACCCAGTGTGGGTACAGGTGGGTACCTGTGTTATCCCGGAACTGCTTACTTAGTGGGGATCCGGGTACAAATGGGTATTTGTAGTAGATTGTCTCTCCATTTGTGAGAAAACTTATCCACCAGCCGAATGTGCCCACCGTCATTATCGTGTGGTTTGTCATTGACAGAAGAGCCATGTCGGTCGCCGGTGTATTTCCTTTTGTAATGAAAACATCCGAGGTCGTTCCGAACTCTGCTCTCACCCATTTAAGATCGTTACTGCACACGATAAATAAAACGTTTGAAAACTTGTTCCGAAAGTAAGCCATGGCCTTTTTCAAATAAGCATAATCAGCAACTTTATAACCGTATTTAACAAATAGTTTATCATTTAATACGTCACCTCTTCGCACGTGAACCCCTACTAATGTCGGCTGTACCCCTGTGTTGTTAAATACATTTATTTTGCTAGAAATTGCCTTGTGTAGAATTGAAGCTGCCAAGTTTAAGATATGTGGACGAAATCTGAACATTTCCCGAAGATCATCTTCATATTTGACGAGATATTTCCAAGACTGAAAATAGCCTTTATAATGGACATTCCTTCTGGATTTCTCAACCAGCTTCGCATCATAAGCACAATCCCATTCATCTTCAATGACCTGGAAACATTTTTCCGTCAAGCTTTTGTCCCAATCTTCTTTCTGTATGAATTAAAAAAAAAAAGCTCCAGCTAAAGACTTACAGACTACATTACATAGCATATTGATTGTAAACATCCTTCATATTTAATAATACAATAACTTCGGTTGAATTAATGAGATTACCTACCTCAGAACCACTAACATTGAGGTAATGAGTTAACCTACCTCAGAAATCAGAACCACCAACATTGAGGTAATGAGTTTACCTACCTCAGAACCACTAACATTGAAGTCATGAGTTTACCTACCTCAGAATCACTAACATTGATTCCAAAAGTGTCCTTCAGGTTATCGAGTTCTATGGTGCTAGGGAGAACCATCTGGTACCCATAGGTCTTACATGTGACGTACAGAAAAGAGTACTGAAACATGAACAATGAATCCGATATTAACTGAACTAGACGTCGTGTGCGTGTTTACAGGTGTTTTGTTTTGTACAGAATGTGTGTGTTATGTACAGGAGGTGTGTGTTATGTACATGAGGTGTGTGTGTGTGTGTTATGTACAGGAGGTGTGTGTGTTATGTACAGGAGGTGAGTGTGTTATGTACAGGAGGTGTGTGTTATGTACAGGAGGTGTGTGTGTGTTATGTACAGGAGGTGAGTGTGTTATGTACAGGAGGTGTGTGTTATGTACAGGAGGTGTGTGTGTGTTATGTACAGGAGGTGTGTGTGTTATGTACAGGAGGTGTGTGTTATGTACAGGAGGTGTGTGTTATGTACATGAGGTGTGTGTGTGTTATGTACAGGAGGTGTGTGTGTTATGTACAGGAGGTGTGTGTGTGTTATGTACAGGAGGTGTGTATGCTATCTACAGGAGGTGTGTGTGTGTTATGTACAGGAGGTGTGTATGTTATGTACAGGAGGTGCGTGTATTATGTACAGGAGGTGTTTGTGAGATTTATACGTTATGTGCGTTATGTACAGAAGGTACATTGTAGACGTTTTATGTAAATGAGGTACATGCACATTGTAGGCGTGTTATGTACAGGATGTAAATTGTAGGCGTGTTATGTACAGGAGGTAAATTGTAGACGTGTTATGTACAGGAGGTAAATTGTAGACGTGTTATGTACAGGAGGTAAATTGTAGGCGTGTTATGTACAGGAGGTAAATTGTAGGCGTGTTATGTACAGAAGGTAAATTGTAGACGTTTTATGTAAATGAGGTACATGCACATTGTAGGTGTGTTATGTACAGGATGTAAATTGTAGGCGTGTTATATACATGAGGTAAATATAGGTGTGTTATGTACAGGAGGTAAATTGTAGTCGTGTTATATACAAAAGGTAAATTGTAGGCGTGTTATGTACAGGAGGTAAATTGTAGGCGTGTTTATACAGGAGGTAAATTGTAGGCGTGTTATATACAGGAGGTAAATTGTAGACGTGTTATGTACAGGAGGTAAATTGTAGACGTGTTATGTACAGGAGGTAAATTGTAGGCGTGTTATGTACAGGAGGTAAATTGTAGGCGTGTTATGTACAGGAGGTAAATTGTAGGCGTGTTATATACAGGAGGTAAATTGTAGGCGTGTTATGTACAGGAGCTACATTGTAGGCGTGTTATGTACAGGAGCTACATGCACGTTGTGGGCGTGTTATATACAGGAGGTAAATTGTAGGCGCGTTATATACATGAGGTAAATATAGGTGTGTTATGTACAGGAGGTACATTGTAGACTTGTTATGTACAGGAGGTAAACTGTAGGCGTGTTATATACAGGAGGTAAATTGTAGGCGTGTTATGTACAGAAGGTAAATTGTAGTCGTGTTATATACAGGTGTAAGCTGAGGTGAAAATATGTGGAGGAAATGTCCGGGAAGATTTCAAATCCTAAATGCGATTTCTCAAAGTCCTGTAAAAGGAAATTTCTTTGAAATGAGTGTGCGGGATAAAATGAAAAAAAAAAAAACACGTTGTGAAAATTGAGGCATCTTGATTTCATTAAACATGTACAATATTTCTGCTTAGAGAGTGTATTGTCCAATCTTGTTTACTAAGTCAATAAAGTCGGTCTTCGCGTAGGTTAACATACAGAACCATTAAACATTTAAAACCCTGATACCAATGTCAGATGACACGTGGTCGATCTCTGTGACACCGCATAATACTTGCGCAATAAGTTTATTACACAAAATTAACCTGAAAGTCGAATTAACATTGGATTGGGATATTAAACATTCCGACGGACATAAATGATGTCGTAATACTCTACTTCCCTTAACACGTGGTACAATAATACTTCACTCCACTAGACATGTGGTATAATACACACTGATACCTTACTCCACGTGACACGTGATAAACTGATACCTTACTCCACTTGACACGTGATACACTGATACCTTACTACAATAGACACGTGATATACTGATATCTTACTCCGATAGACGCGTGATATACTGATACCTTACTACAATAGACACGTGATATACTGATACCTTATTACAATAGACACGTGATATACTGATACCTGACTCCAATAGAAACGTGATATACTGATACCTTACTACAATAGACACGTGATATACTGATACCTTACTACAATAGACACGTGATATACTGGTACCTCCCTACCATAGACACGTGATAGACTGATACCTTACTTCACTTGACACGTGATACACTGATACCTTACTACCATAGACACGTGATATACTGATACCTCACCACCATAGACACGTGATATACTGATACATTACTGCCATAGACACGTGATATACTGATACCTTACTACAATAGACACGTGATATACTGATACCTTACTCCCCTAAACACTTGGTACACTGATACCTTACAACAATAGACACGTGATATACTGATACCTTACTACAATAGACACGTGATACACTGATACCTCACTACCATAGACACGTAATAGACCGATACCTTACTACCATAGACACCTGATATACTGATACCTTACTCCCCTTGACACGTGATATACTGGTGCCTTACTCCCCTAAACACTTGGTACTTTGATACCTTACTTCCCTAAACACTGGTACACTGATACCTTCCTCCCATAGACACGTGATATACTGGTACCTTACTCCCATAGACACGTGATATACTGATACCTTACTCCGATAGACACGTGATATACTGATACATTACTCCCCTTTGACACTTGGTACACTGATACCTTACTCCCATAGACGCGTGATATATTGATATCTTACTCCCCTTTGACACTTGGTACACTGATACCTTACTCCCATAGACAAGTGATATACTGATACCTTACTCCCCTAAACACTTGGTACACTGATACCTTACTCCCATAGACACGTGATATACTGATACCTTACTACCATAGACACGTGATATACTGATATCATACTACAATAGACACGTGATATACTGATACCTTACTCCCCTAAACATTTGGTACACTGATTACTTACGCCTCTTGACAATTCGCACACTGATACCACTCCCCCCACCTCCCTTCCGTGTTTACATAGATAACATCTCCCTCCACCTCCCTCCCGTGTTAACATAGATAACATCTCTCTCCACCTCCCTGCCGTGTTTACATAGATAACCCCTCCCTCCACCTCCCTCCCGTGTTAACATAGATAACATCTCCCTCCACCTCCCTCCTGTGTTTACATATATAACCCCTCCCTCCCGTGTTTACATAGATAACCCCTCGCTCCACCTCCCTCCCGTGTTTACATAGATAACCCCTCCTCCACCTCCCTCCGTGTTTACATAGATAACACCTCTCCCTCCACCTCCCTTTTCGTGTTAACATAGATAACCCCTCCCTCCACCTCCCTCCCGTGTTTACATAGATAACCCTTCCCTCCACCTCCCTCCTGTGTTTACATATATAACTCCCTCCACCTCCCGTGTTTACATAGATAACACTCCCTCCACCTCCTTTCCCTCGTGTTAACATAGATAACCACCTCCCTAACATAGATAACCTCCCTCCACCTCCGTGTTTACATAGATAACCCCTCGCTCCACCTCCCTCCCGTGTTTACATAGATAACCCTCCCTCCACCTCCCTTTCGTGTTAACATAGATAACCTTTCCCTCCACCTCCCTTTCGTGTTTACATAGATAACCCCTCCCTCCACCTCCCTCCCGTGTTTACATAGATAACCCCTCCCTCCACCTCCCTCCCGTGTTAACATAGATAACATCTCCCTCCACCTCCCTCCCGTGTTTACATAGATAACCCTTCCCTCCACCTCCCTCCTGTGTTTACATATATAACCCCTCCCTCCCGTGTTAACATAGATAACATCTCCCTCCACCTCCTTTCGTGTTAACATAGATAACCTTTCCCTCCACCTCCTTTTCGTGTTAACATAGATAACCCCTCCCTCCACCTCCCTCCCGTGTTTACATAGATAACCCTTCCCTCCACCTCCCTCCTGTGTTTACATATATAACCCCTCCCTCCCGTGTTTACATAGATAACACTCCCTCCACCTCCTTTTCGTGTTAACATAGATAACCCCTCCCTCCACCTCCCTCCCGTGTTTACATAGATAACCCCTCGCTCCACCTCCCTCCCGTGTTTACATAGATAACCCCTCGCTCCACCTCCCTCCCGTGTTAACATAGATAACATCTCCCTCCACCTCCCTGCTGTGTTTACATAGATAACCCCTCCCTCCACCTCCCTCCCGTGTTTACATAGATAACCCCTCGCTCCACCTCCCTTTCGTGTTTACATAGATAACCCCTTCCTCCACCTCCCTTTCGTGTTTACATAGATAACCCCTCGCTCCACCTCCCTCCCGTGTTTACATAGATAACCCTCCCTCCACCTCCCTTTCGTGTTAACATAGATAACCTTTCCCTCCACCTCCCTTTCGTGTTAACATAGATAACCTTTCCCTCCACCTCCTTTCGTGTTAACATAAATAACCTTTCCCTCCACCTCCTTTCGTGTTAACATAAATAACCTTTCCCTCCACCTCCTTTCGTGTTAACATAAATAACCTTTCCCTCCACCTCCCTTTCGTGTTTACATAGATAACCCCTCCCTCCACCTCCCTTTCGTGTTGATATAGATAACATCTCCCTCCACCTCCCTCCCGTGTTAACATAGATAACCCCTCCCTCCACCTCCCTGCCGTGTTTACATAGATAACCTCTCCCTCCACCTCCCTTCCGTGTTTACATAGATAACCTCTCTCTCCACCTCCCTCCCGTGTTAACATAGATAACCCCTCCCTCCACCTCCCTTTCGTGTTAACATAGATAACCCTTCCCTCCACCTCCCTCCCGTGTTTACATAGATAACCCCTCCCTCCACCTCCCTTTCGTGTTTACATAGATAACTCTTCCCACCCCCCACCCCCCCCCCTATCTCCCTTCCGTGTTTACATAGATAACCTCTCTCTCCACCTCCCTCCCGTGTTCACATATATAACCCCTCCGTTCATCTCCCTTCAGTGTCTACATTGTTAATCTCTCCCTTCCATGTTTAAATAGATAATCTACCCTCCACCATCCTTACGTGTTTACATGATATCCCTCCTTCCCTCACTCTCCCGTGTTTACCTGAAACATGAGGTTGCCGAGTCCCCCCGATAACTCGACACTGGCCATCAGACTGTTGAGTTGCTGTTGGATTCCCTCACATGACGTAAGGAGTTTTGGCTCTGGTGTCGATTGTCCAATCATCTTCCACGTGAGGATGATGATACTGACCACAATGAAATATATCACTACTCTAGCCGCTTTCATATTTTCTTTCCCGTGTTTCCAAAAAGGAAACCAATGGATCACTGCCATGTTCAAACCAAATGCAAACGTCCATAAAATCGATGATATTATTTATCACAATGGGACCTAACCTGTACAGTGTGTGACGTGAATTACACTATCGTCAACGTGACGAGTACAGGTATTTTCCACCGTGTCGCCTCTAACGGAATCAAACAGTAATGTTCCATTAATATATTCAGCCGTCAATGGGGCCTCACGTTGTGTACACATTTCACCTGTAACCACGCGAGTCTTTTGAATGTAATACAAAAGGTTAAAGAAATAGGAGTCCAGTATTGTATGTACTATGAGAGACTACACATACTCGGTGACATTAATAAAAAACACCACTGCGCGATCAAACATGATATCGACTTACCAGAATAACGGAAGCTATATACAATGGTCACACGTGGTAATTTTACAGTATAAAAGGACAGTCGGGCACATATGTACATGTTTAAGCTTCAGATCTTTTGTATTGTACTGTTAAGGTACTGATATAGTCAGCCCTGACTAAGGGCCGTCTGGTGTTGCACACCGGACATCAAAATGTTGATTAGCGGAGAATTAACATACTCGCTCCATTGTTACCGGTCATATGAGTAAGAGTACAATGCGGAAATAGTCTTAAGTACTTATATATATATACATATATAAGCTGTAAAGCTCAGCGTATCGAATAAACTTGCATTTTAATATGAGCTCTCTGTATAAGGTATAAATATAGAATTCTACAAAGTTTATTGAAATGAAAATTGACCTATGATAATGATATTTCTACATAAATTAAGATTTGAAGAAATAATTAAGAACCTATACACACTTTATAATGATCAAATTATTATTTAATCATGCTGTGCATTTCAAATCTAAAATTTTGCATTATTAGCGTTTCATTAGTTAGGAAACTATTTCTCGGATTTCAAAAATGATAGAACACATGTTAAAACTCATTTCTAAGTAATTAAAATAGTTGTCAGAACTTACATCACACCAGGTTTTTAAATTTTTGGCGATAGCATGTGTTAGAACATGTTAAAAATTCCTCTATTTTTCCCTTAAACTATCTGTTCATATTTTTATTGTAATTTATATGCATCACAATTGTAATTACACGTGTAACTTGATGGCTAACATTAACAACATAGAAATGATATATCAAGGTTTACAAAGCACTAAATGAAACTGGCTGCAGGCCTGTCTTCCTCACTTCTAAACACTGTTTTATAAACAAACATGATGAGAACATATAGTTGGTGTGATCACTTGAAGTAAAGTTGTGTGATTCCCTTTTTGAAGACAAAAAATGACCTTCCTGATTTATTGGTGTAACAACGGAAAAGGAAATTTGATACATCATAAAGTGAATTACAGGTTGTGCATAGTTTTTTTACTCGAGGAAGACTTTAAATCTACAACTAGCTATTTCAAGGTCATGTTCACACAATCTAGACTTGGTGAAAGACTTTCGTCTAACAGTGAATTGAATGATTTCCATTCAAATTTGACTGAGAACGCTTCGAACTGTTGAGAATATTTTCATTGGAATTTTTGAAGCCCTTTGTGTGATAAATTTTTAACAGATGGTAGTAATTTACCAAGTCGTTTATGATACTCCCTAGATATTTGTATCCACGAATGATACTAATATGACTGGTATCGGTATGGAATCTCCATCTATTATTGATACGGATAGACAGCCATCCACGATACTCTAGGGGTTATGATAAATTTTACATTCTGCACCCCTCGAACCATCCACGATACTCTGGGGGTTACGATCAATTTTACTCTCTGCACCCCTGGAGCCATCCACGATTTTATTCCAGGGGTTACGATCACTTTCAATCTCTGCACCCCTGGAGCCATCCACGATATTCCAGGAGTTACGATCACTTTCACTCTCTGCACCCCTGGAGCCATCCTCGATACTCCAGGGGTTACGATCACTTTCACTCTCTGCACCCCTGGAGCCATCCGCGATACCCCAGGGGTTACGATCACTTTCACTCTCTGCACTCTGGTACATGCAGGCGACACCCAAATTTATACCTATTGCAATATACGTTATGCGACCTCGAGATTCGTTTGTTTTACTTCAACCGATCAAACTAGTATTTTCCTCTTGTCCACAAGGTGTCGCACATTAAACATTAAATTTTGCCATAACACATTCAAGAGGTGCATAGAGCGAAAGTGATCGTAACCCCTGGAATATCGAGATGACAGAGAGCTGGTAGATCATATATTTATTCTTATCGAGGTAAAGTGACAAATACCATTCTGCGCAGTAGTAATGATGTTTGTTCAGAGAGTATGGGACTCCCTCAGTAATGTTTGACAATATTAGTAAGTCGTGGGCATACTTCACACAACCAACTTCAGTGTCTATTGATTTTAATGGTCTACGCTCAGTCTGATCAGGTAGATCATCGAGGTGAGTAGAGTAAAGCGTGTTTGGCTGTTTAATCCACCTGTGTTAATCAAATTAGTCAGACGTAAAGTTTGGAAATGATTTTTTTTGTACATTTTTAGAAGACATTAAATAGCTTTTTGCTACCACTCAATACTCCACAAGTTCATGTGACAGTACATTTCTCCACACAGAGTCAAATGTTTTATTGAAGTAAAAAAAAAATAAATAAACAAAAAATCAATAATATACTGCCTGTTGCCCTGTTTATTTTTATTCTGAACCCAAATGTAGGTTGCGCATTTTATCTCACATGAACTCCACAGGTTTGTTATTGATAAATGAAAGAGTTTACCTAGACAATGCATGATTGAAATAGACCTGTATTTGGCGCTATGGAGTCACCATGTTTATACATGTTTAGCATTTATTCCACTTAGATTGGTAGTGGCCATTTATAAGCGAGACATTAAACAGTTCAGATAGTAATGGTCTTAGTTTAATCATTTCTTACAAAGTCTGGTCCGCGGCATTTTCTGCATTGAGCTGTTTTTATAGCTTGAGTAAGGTCTTTTATGGCAATAGGTTAATCCATGATATCAATAGATTCAGGAGATGGTATCACAGACCTTAAACACAAATTTATCACCAGCAGACTAATCAGTATTTATACCGATATCTATTCTAATATCATTCATTATCACACTTAATCCAGATGAAGTACACTATTACACTTAATCCAGATGAAGTACACTATTACACTTAATCCAGTTAAAGTACACTATTACAATTAATCCACTTAAATTACACTATTACACTTAATCCAGTTAAAGTACACTATTACACTTAATCCAGATGAATTACACTATTACACTTAATCCAGTTAAAGTACACTATTACACTTAATCCAGTTAAAGTACACTATTACACTTAATCCAGTTGAAGTACACTATTACACTTTATCCAGATGAAGTACACTATTACACTTAATCCAGTTGAAGTACACTATTACACTTAATCCAGATGAAGTACACTATTACACTAAATCCAGTTAAAGTACACTATTACACTTAATCCAGTTAAAGTACACTATTGCACTTAATCCAGATAAAGTTCAATATTACACTTAATCCAGTTAAATTACACTATTACACTTAATCCAGTTAAAGTACACTATTACACTTAATCCAGTTGAAGTACACTATTACACTTTATCCAGATGAAGTACACTATTACACTTAATCCAGTTAAATTACATCATTACACTTAATCTAGTTGATGTACACTATTACACTTAATCCAGTTGAAGTACACTATTACACTTAATCCAGTTGAAGTACACTATTACACTTAATCCAGTTGAAGTACACTATTACACTTAATCCAGTTGAAATACACTATTACACTTAATCCAGTTGAAGTACACTATTACACTTAATCCAGTTGAAGTACACTATTACACTTTATCCAGATGAAGTACACTATTACACTTTATCCAGATGAAGTACACTATTACACCTAATCCAGTTAAATTACATCATTACAGTTCATCTAGTTGAAGTACAATATTACACTTAATCTAAGTAAAGTTAAATATTACACTTAATCCTGATAAAGTTCAATATTACACTTAATCCAGTTAAATTACACTATTACACTTAATCCAATTGAAGTACACTATTACACTAAATCCAGTTGAAGTACACTATTACACTTTATCCAGATGAAGTACACTATTACACTTAATCCAGTTAAATTACATCATTACACTTAATCTAGTTGATGTACACTATTACACTTAATCCAGTTGAAATACACTATTACACTTAATCCAGTTGAAGTACACTATTACACTTTATCCAGTTAAATTACACTATTACACTTAATCCAGTTAAAGTACACTATTACACTTAATCCAGTTAAAGTACACTATTACACTTAGTCCAGATAAAGTTCAATATTACACTTAATCCAGTTAAATTACATCATTACAGTTCATCTAGTTGAAGTACAATATTACACTTAATCTAAGTAAAGTTAAATATTACACTTAATCCTGATAAAGTTCAATATTACACTTAATCCAGTTAAATTACACTATTACACTTAATCCAATTGAAGTACACTATTACACTAAATCCAGTTGAAGTACACTATTACACTTTATCCAGATGAAGTACACTATTACACTTAATCCAGTTAAATTACATCATTACACTTAATCTAGTTGATGTACACTATTACACTTAATCCAGTTGAAATACACTATTACACTTAATCCAGTTGAAGTACACTATTACACTTTATCCAGTTAAATTACACTATTACACTTAATTCAGTTAAAGTACACTATTACACTTAATCCAGTTAAAGTACACTATTAAACTTAATCCAGTTAAAGTACACTATTACACTTAGTCCAGATAAAGTTAAATATTACACTTAATCCAGTTAAATTACACTATTACACTTAATCCAGTTAAAGTACACTATTACACTTAATCCAGTTGAAGTACACTATTACACTTAATCCAGATGAAGTACACTATTACACTTAATCCAGTTAAATTACATCATTACACTTAATCTAGTTGATGTACACTATTACACTTAATCCAGTTGAAATACACTATTACACTTAATCCAGTTGAAGTACACTATTACATTTAATCCAGTTGAAGTACACTATTACACTTAATCTAGTTGAAGTACACTATTACACTTAATCCAGTTAAAGTACAC